TTATATAGTATTTTTCATATATTTTTTATAGGTTTTCAAAAAAGGAGAAGAGTGGCTTGAAGCCTACGAGAAATATCTGGTAACAAAGAGATTACCACTGGATTTAAAACAGATGGAACTCACTGAAGAAGAACAAGTAATAGCACGAAGATTAGAGCAACAACAAGAACTCGTACAATTACAAAAATGCGCAGCTTTCGCTATGTCTCAGTTAGAACCTAACTTTCTGATGATGCTACATCCCTGGCTCATGTCTGGAACAACTGGAGATAATTTACAAATATTCCCAATATCGTCGGCTATAACTGATGATAAAATAAGAAATACGCACAGACGATTGCTACGTGCTGAATCTGCTACACAAAGAGTAAATGAAGATGTTGATGGGATTATGTTAGCTGAGTGGTCGAAGTTGCGATGTGCAATCGTTGAACATAAAGCAGTTTGGCCAACCTGGTTGCTTGTACTCTTAAAGTTTCTCCCATATAGACAACACAGACTGATTATGGAAAGCCTCAACGTGCAGTCGATACAATCTGGTAACTAACAAAAATATTGCAGTACAATATAGTACTTAGTAGGCCTACAGCATGAGCGACATCTGATGCAATTACAGCTAAGCGTGGCTTTTCCAATGGTTCAGTCAAAGCCTAACTTTCTGAACCAAGTATGGCTCAAAATATAGCACATGTTTGGAATAAGTAGAAACGATTTGAGGCTGTTGACGAAACAAGAAATACGTAAAGTCAAAGACGATTGCTAGGTGGCGAATCACAAAGAAAAAATGAAAACCATATTGATGGGATTATACTAGTTCAATTGATTAGATTGAGATGTGCACTGATCATCGAATATAAGCAGTTTGGCCAGCCTGGCCGGTTAGACTTTCTTTAACATAGACTGATGGAAAGATTGGCTTCAACATGGAGCCCATAAGATCTCGTAGTCGGCTTATACGAGATATCTAAAACAGTGGTTCTCCAACTTGTTAAAAAGGACCACAGAAATAGGCTTATAATTTCACTATAAAACGTTTAGGAGTTGAATTCTATAATTATTGTATTTTATACATAAGTACGGTTATAGAAAATCTAAACGTAATTGCACGGGATATTAAATAATTGTGCTAATAATTAAATTCTTAACTTGGTGCATACATTTTAACAGTTGCAATTGTACAATATAAATTATAAAATATTGATAAATTAGTATGTATACAAATTACAATAAAATATTACATTATTGACAGTGTAAATGTTTGATAGCAATGTGTCAATGATTCGTCTGTGTCTAGTCATCTAGTTTGTATGGATAGCTTTAGTATATGTTTACACCAAGATGGATTACCCATCACTCATAAATCTGCATGCATAGTATATAGTAATAAATTGGTTTATTTCAGGCCAAGTATCTTCTGATCAAATTCTGCCATACGACGTCCATATTCTGCCATACGACGTTCATATTCTGCCTTACGACACTCCTCTTCCTGAAGTTCTTCTTCCGTTGGCTCCATCGGAAGCAACAATTCGTTCATGGGTTTACCAGTCACAAGATGCTCTTCGTACGCTTCTAGCCATTGCTTGCCTTTCTCAAAAACCTGATACAGTTTATTTTCCCGCGTCCAACACACATGACGAGAGAAACAAATCTGCAAAAGTCCATGTTTCTGTGGCCAAGTATGAGTCGTATGTGTTCCTTGCCATTCTGAAGATTTGGGCATCGGTTTTGGCGAAGCACATACAACCAAATTGGGTAGTTGGTTGGGATAATTTTCCCCTACCAAAATACGTAATTTACAGACATTATTCCGGCTCGTCTTTATGTCTCGTTCGAATACAGCCATTTGTTCGAATACACCCATTCGTTCGAATACACCCATTCTCCAATGCCATGGGAATTTTTCCCCGTTGTAGTGCTTTTCAAGCCAGTTTCGTTCATGTTTCAATCGTGCCCGTAGGAATTTATAATCCGTCATTATTCTTTAATATAGTTAACAACACGACGTTAGTACTTCGCTGTAAATAATATGTTTATCTTTTGAAAAGTGTGAATATTCTTTTTTGAATACATAATACGTAGGGGAATTCCCATAATATCCAGCTGTTTTGGCTGATGCAATGACGCAACGAAGGTATGGAATATATTAAGTTGCGGTCAAGAAAGAGGCTTGTGTGCCTTGCAACTGGATAAAAAATCCCAAGTTAAGTAGGGGGCAGAATGCTAGCAATTTGTAATATATTGATCATAGCTGTACCTGTTTGTCGCATTTATATACACAGACAAAATATATTTTCTTATATATCGATCATCGCCTCTATAGTATAGCATTAATCGGACTATTAATGGCATTTAAGTATACACCTTGTACATACGATTGTTTGAAATATACGCAGTTTGTCAAGGACGGACGGCCTAGAAACCGATTCAAAATTCCCTGTGTAGTTCTGTCTTCCTAGACTTGCACCAAAAGCTTGTGTATCAGTGGCTATCATATACTTCGTTACTATGCCGTGGACTCCTGAGCAAAGGCAAAGACTAGCGGTTGAGAAAGACATACTGGAAAAATATTTCCCTGGGAAAGTTGAATGGGTCGACCCAACCGGTAACACGAAAGTGGATGTGACTATGATCACAAACAGCAATCAGACTTACTGCCTACGTCTGTATGTTCCAGCTGATTTTCCAAACAGCCTTCCTATTATGGTAGTACAAAGTTCACCAAGCCCTATGCCTAACTGGGGAAATAATGCTGCCACGCATACTTTGGGGCGAAATCGTGAGGGATTTCTCGTAATTTGTCATTATCGTACAGAACATTGGAATAGTGAACATACTTTCTACGAAACCTTCATGAAGGGACGGTTATGGCTAGAAGCCTATGAAGGACACTTGTCCACCGATGAAACAATGGATTCTTTTCTAGGTCACATGAACTGAGAGGACAAATATTATAATAATATTATGAAACTATATAGAGTGACTAATATTGCTTTCGAAACTATATTGCTTTCTTCTTCAGCTAAATAAACAGTAACTTTTATGACAAAGTGTGGCCCGATATAGATCTACTACATGTTGACCTAGCCAGCTCCCAGCCCGAAATTTTAATGAATTTCAGTTCTGAGAGCATGCCACAGTTGACCCAAAAATGAGCTCATGCATGCATGTTAGAACAACTTGAAACGAAGCTCAGTAAAGGGAGTAAATTAACTAAGGATCTCCCAGGAGGAGGAGTCTGTGTTTCCATGTTCACTTGAAAAGTGAGCTTTACTTCCGCTTCCCTCCCCAAGATTCATATCTGTCCTCGGATTGGACGAGCATAATATAGTGCGAGACGATAAATAATTCATTAACAAATGCAAAGGCAGAAGAGAAAGTAAATCATAGTCTGTAGCGGTGCATTGGCTGTGTTTATGTCAAAGATCTAACCAATGTCTTGGATTCCAACTCAACAATACAGACTTGCAGTTGAAAAAGAGATCTTAGATCGATTTTTTCCTGGAAAAGTACAATGGATTGATCCCACAGTTGCAGGCAGAACTAGAATCGAGATTGAAATGACCAGCAACAGTAACCAAGTTTATCGTCTCCGTGCCTATGTACCGCCTGACTACCCTAATAGTCTCCCTGATCTGGTTGTCGCTGGTTCGCCAAAACCAATGCCAAACTGGGGCAGCCATCATGCAACGCATACAATAGGAATACGCGATGGCTGCCTGAAAATTTGTCATTATTATGCACCGCGCTGGAACCCGGAGCATACATTTTACGAGATCTTCGTCAAGGGTCGTGTTTGGTTGGAGGCTTACGAAGGACATTTACAGACTGGAAAAAATCTAGACTTTTATCTTGGACATATGCGCTGAGAATGGTCTACATATATACTGACATGATTGACTAAATCTACACAGGAATGCTCTATGATTGCATCCTTGACTGTATTTAGTGTATATAATATATCCACATAACTGAACCCTTGAATTAAGTCGAAACTAACATTTTCTGTAAAGCTTCTGTTAGTAAATGTACAGTTGAACTGCTACTGATAGTTTAAAGTTTCACAATAAGATTCAAATGCTTATCTTGCTATCCCAAACAATCTTAAAATTTGGTATGTATACGTATGTAAGTCATGTTAAATTCAAATTTGCGTTATATTTCATCTCACAATATATTTTGATTATCAGTAATTCTTATGCAGATACAAGTCTATATTTTGACGCTTAAAAACTCTAAAGAATATATGCGACGGCTTACAGTATGAAATTTGAATCGCATTTAATATGTATTTTCACTTTCCATATCGAACAACTACCCTTTTCTTGGAACCGATCACTGATTTCGAAGAAAATGATAAATATTTTAAAAACGGAAACGGCATTAATTACTCGAGAAATGTTTGGGTGAAATTTGAGAGAAAAGAAAAATAGAAAACGTTCGCGATGTTGGAAAAGTAGTTTGGTAACAGGTGTTAAGATTGACAGATGAAAAGAGGATGATCGGTAAGGACATGATTGGGCCGTTAGGTGTTTCGGGGGTAATAGGGGTGAAGACCCTGAGTATCAAGTTGGCTTGGCCAAAGAAAAAAATGGCTGACAGTGCGTTTGTGTATTAATTTCAATATACTATACATTTAGACACTACGTGTCATCTGATTGGCCATACTGGCAGCTTACGGCTAAATACAATAATAATGAACATCACAAACACCTCATTCAGTATTTGTTTATTAAATTCAGTCCCGTGTTTCTTTTTAAGACCTACATGAACAATCAACAAAACCATAGAAGTCTATTTCATATGTTTCATTCATTTAATTACACATAATTACATGTGGCCAAGGTACTAATCTATCGAGTTGCCTGTTGAAATATGACCTTCGTAAGCCTCCAACCACAATCTGCCTTTCACGAAAACTTCGTAAAAAGTATGCATACCATCCCAGTGAGAACTACGATAATGGCAAATTTCTATAAAACCCTCATCATTACGTCCTAAAGTGTGAGAAGCCCTACAATCGCCCCAGTTAGGCATAGGCCTTGGTGAGCTTTTCACAACCATGACAGGTAGGCTGTTTGGAAAATCAGCTGGAACATACAGACGTAGGCAATAAGCCTGATTGCTGTTTGTGATCATAGTCACATCCAATTTAGTGTTGCCAGTCGGATCGACCCATTTGACTTTCCCAGGGAAATATTTTTCAAGTATGTCCTTCTCTACCGCTAGTCTTTGCCTTTGATCAGGAGTCCACGGCATAGTAATACGATGTATACACTGATACAAAAGCTTCTGAGTTCTGGCAAAGTGTACCTTGACAAAGTTCACAAACTGCCTATATGCTAATATGCACTCTTCTTGAAGAAGCAAAAGTTATGTGGCAAAAGCCACTGCAGGTAGACCGAGGAAATTGATGAATCTTGTGAGATCGCAACTTCTAGTGACAAAATGTAAACTGTCAGTTGTTGTAGGCTAGTAGCCTAGTATATACACAAATTCTAATTCAGAAAATTTACTTTGTTTTGGACATATAACAGGACAGACAACTTGCAATACTGAAACGAATACAATGCCCCGTGACTCCGTGATGCACTTCCACATGAGTATGATTTTAACCAATCAGATTGCAAAATTTCAATAACATGATTAAGATGAGCACAAATTACCTGGAATTTCCCTGTGGTTCTGGGAAGGCAAGAATGACGCATTATAATGTCATGTAAGATTGTAAAAGTGAAACTGCACACGGTTTTTTCAGTTACTAAGAACTTCACTCAAATTCCACGAAAAGGCACTTGTGTATTGCGTCCATTCTAAAAGATTGTATTACGCTGAAACTGTCTCAAGTCTGTCCAGTTTCAGAAGAATCCAAATCAGTGAACGTCGAACGTTTGTTGGAAGAGGGACAAAGCACTTTAAACGCAGAAGATGTCGGGTAGCAAAGATGTTCAAAGTCATTTGGCCAACGTTGCTTTAGGAAGAGACACGGGGCGGCAGAAGTTAACATTTGACCCAACAACAGGAAAGTTGAGAGTGGTGAATGGAACTCAAAACACTGGGGACAATATTGTATGTACTGACATGGCCGCTGCTGGTTTCTTTATCAGAGTTATGAACATGAAAGGAACTGTATGCTCTTCTGAAAGTGTATATAACATGGTTATGAGAGCGTACTGAGATTGATAGTGTAGCTATCAGCCTCGAATTCATATACATTTAATACTTTTAAACTTTGCGAACTGTACAATATAATTATAGGTTGGATGTAGGACGATGGTTATTAATAGATCAGCGTTTAATTGTATATCTTGTGTTATTTAATAAGATCTTAAATGCAGCATAGACTATAGGAATTATAGGTAGCTAGTTTCATGTGAACGTAGATGCTTCTGTTGCAAATTGTAAAATGGGCTTAATTTAATAATCACTTGTGCATGACAAATGGTTTGCAAAATCAATTCGAAGATCGATTATAGTTAGTGCTTTCGACAGCTTGCGATCAAGGCCTTTGCAGTAGATCCAGTGTGAGAAGTAATATATGAACAACGTGAGCGACTGTTTCACCGGGATATCCAAACACGAGAAACCAAATACATTGTTTTCTAGTGTTTGGATATCCCGGTGAGACACGAGCTCGAGTTGTTTATATGGCTTCTCAAATGAATCGAGACGTAATAGAATGTTTTCGTTTGCTGATTTGAATAGAATTCTTAAGCAAGCATAACGTAATTAGGAATTCTATTCAAGTAATTTTGCATGCGTATAATTAAGATATTTGATGAAAACACTAGTGACTTTCATCAAGTATCCAAATGGCATCTTGTGATCAAATAGGTGATTATCATTGGCTGAATTGCTCATGAATTATTATGAATTTGAGAAATATATAAGAACGAACGTCAAGTTTCTATTGATTTTATCACATGTACTTTGAATAAATTGGTGATTGATAGCACAACGCGTCAAACATGTTCAAATTTCCTTTGTCTGCATGTCGGTATTCTCAGTAGCACGAACAATTAAACTTGGGATGACCTCTGTACCTTGTAAGGTTATACATATACCACGATTCATTTCAATCTTTACTTCCGCCTTTCCACCATTATCGGACAGCCATCGATTAGTTTAAGTTTGTTGCCACTTTATGCTCATGTTGGGTGCCTTTTTCAAAGAAGCAACCCACCTTCACTCAGCATGGCCTCTGCTGGCAGTATGCCTTCAACAGACCAAAGACAAGATCTGAAAAGCTTACTGGAGTGTTCAATTTGCCTGGAGACATTTGACGACCCAAGAACACTGCCTTGTCTGCATTCGTTTTGTAAAAACTGTTTGGAAAATTTTGTGGAAGGAAAACCCAATGATGAATTAAACTGCCCTGTGTGCCGTTGGAACTTCACGTTGAACGAAGGTAAAGATAATACTTTTGCTTAAAACATTATTGATAAACTAAGGTATAATTGTACATAACAAGGTCTTAAGTTAAGACACAGCATCAATCTAAATATATGAAGCAGCCGTGTTGTATATAAGATATGCGAACACGACCTGAATTGGAGTGTGTGTTCTTCTTTAATTATTGAATTTATTACAAGTATTGTTAGCATACTATATACTAGACTTTCGGGCCTACTCTTATTATCAGCATTTTATATATATGTAGTGTACGTTAACAGACAGGTATATAGAGCCACTATGTGGATATATCTTTATACTATTAATTCATATTATCAATTTATATAGGAGTGGCAGGAACGAAAAACCACTTTATTTGTAATATGGTGGAAGTGCTGTCTATACAACATCAAAACAAATGTATACCTTGTTCGCATTGTGAACAACCATCCGTGGGTCGTTGCGTAACATGTGAACTGTTTATGTGTGAGAAATGCCTTAAATTCCACAACGATTACCCAGGATTTAAAGACCACGTTGTCTTGACAATGGAAGAACTATCGAAGCCAGAGAATCAATCGAAGATTAAAGGAAAATCATGTTGCAAAAAACATCCAAGTAAAAAGTTGAAGCTCTATTGTGAAACATGCGATGAGTTAATCTGTACGTATTGTATGTCCTTTGAACACGTTCGACCTGACCATGTGTGCTCTCCGCTTGAAGAAATCGCAGAAAGAAAACGGAAGGAATTAAAGACAAAGTGTGCAATTTTACAAAGAACAGTTGCCGATAAGAACAAAGAAATTCAAAGTTTGAAAAAAGATATTGAATCGTTGAATAACAAGTTTGATAAAGCTCAGCGTCTTACAAACGAAAGGAAAGAACAGTTACTGGGTAGACTTCAAGCAAAATTGCAGAAAAAAACGAACTTGGTTATAGAAGACGCACGTCAAATATTTGATCATAATACGGGGATACTAGAACAGAGGATACACCAAAGAGAAACGTTTGTAAATCGCGTAAAAGCTTCCACAGACATGGCTCGTAGTCTGCTCGAAAATGCGAATGATGAAGAAATTGTTCGTTCTTATCAATCTGTTGTTAACAACGACGCAATTGAGAACGACGTTGAAGAAAATGAAAAGAATGATGATACTGTTTTATCTTTAAGTTCTGATGAAATTGACACAATGCTTCTTGCAGAGATTAAAGATCTTGTACAGAATAAAGGTATCATGTACATAGACATGACTTCTATATAATGGGCGGACCAAGTCATGCCCAAGGACACTGAACATACATAGCACATACAGCAAAAATTCTAAAATACCTAGTAACTATTGTGAGAATTTGATTTTCTAACAGTGCATGTTTTTCATACAAATATCACATTTAGGATTTTGGCACTTACATGTTATATGTTTCTGTTGCAGATGCTTCGCCACAGCAGGTAGAGAAAGCTGTAACGAGTGAAGAGTTTTGGAACTCGAGTGAAGAAGAAATGGAGCGTTTTCAGCTTTTGTTCCAGTATTTCCAGGCAGATGGTATTACACCTTACATGTCTAGAGACACAGTTACTCGAGATATGCAGTTTGGTTTTAGTGGTGGCTATTTCTTAGATTTCCCCGACAATTTTCCGAAGAAAATGCCGACAATCCGTGCTCCTGATGGTTCGCGTTATGAGCTCACTCGTGGGTCCAATCGTGATGAAGATGTTTGTCAAATGGTGGTACGGATAGTTGTGGAGTTTCTTCGAAATCCACCGGCACGTCGTAGAGGCGGACGTACTGGTGGTAGAAGAGGCAATAATTACTAACATATGACGTCCAATATTCTCATTGTAGTAATTTTCTTCTTCATGTAACTTTTTGCTCTTTTGTTGAATTATTTCCTATTGATAAGTTATTATCCATTTATATATAGGAGTATTAGTATAGTAGAAAATGTTTACATATACACTTTTACAATATATACACATACTTACGCTTTTACAAGAGGTACTAGTCAATTGATTATATATGTATCGTAATATTAATAACTGTAATACATGATTACTGGTTGCCTAAAACATGTATTATATGAAACTCATGCACTCTAGCCTGCGTAGTAGAAGGTTTTGAGGGTTTTTGAACAAATGGTGGGTTAGAAAGAACGGGCGAAGAAAAAAAGGGCGATAAAGGACGGGCGAAGAAAAATTTTACCTTCGCCAATTTTTCCTTCGCCCAATTTCTCTTCGCCCGTTTTTTCTCGCCCTTTTTTTTTTGCCCATTTTTTCTAAACCAACAATAAAGCGACTGCTACGTAGGCTAAACTCGCCCGGGCAGCGTACTATTGCTTACGTCATTGCAACACAATCAAACATATTACATACTATACTACTAATAACTGCCATCCACAATTCTTTTCGTTCACCATGCACTTCCGCCTTTCCGCGTTCGCGTATCAAACAGCAATCGATCATCTTACATTTGAAGCCAATTTTACACTTTTTTAAACTACTTTTCTACAAAAACCCGACCACCTTCATTCAAGATGGCATCAGCCAGCAGTATGCCATCAACAGACCAAGGACAAGATTTAAAAAGCTTACTAGAGTGTTCAATTTGCCTGGAGACATTCGAAGACCCACGCACACTACCATATCTACATTCGTTTTGTCAAACTAATGTTTGGAAAATTTTGTGGATGGAAAACAGGAGGATGAATTAAACTGCCCTGTGTGTCGTGGCAAGTTCACGTTGAACGAAGGTAAAGTTACTACCTTACTCGAAACATTATTTATACACGTCAAACTAGTCAAGGGTATTATTATAGGACGTCTTTATTTACATTGTATCAATTGTATAAATAAGCGGCCGTGTTGTATTTGATGAGAAAAATGAATTTAAAGTCTATGTAAATGAGCAAGATTGTTAGAAGGAACACATGCTCTTACATGGTCATGATTTTTTTGTGTTTTCGATGTAGTGCATATCTTAATATAATGCAGCATTTTATTTAAATTCAATTTTATATCAAATTATTTATGGCAGGGTAGGTCAATTGGCAGATGTGGCCGGATACACGGTCTTATCATTGAACATTATTATTATTATGTAGGAGTGGCAGGGATGACAAGGAACCATTTTATTTGTAATATGATCGAAGTCCTGTATATGCAACATCGGGACAAATGTATACCTTAGTTACCTTGCTCACATTGTGAACAACCATCTGTGGGTCAATGCGTAACGTGTGAGCTGTTTATGTGTGAGAAATGTCTACAGTCTCATAATGGATACATTGGATTTCGAGATCATGTTGTCCTGACAATGGAAGAACTATCACAGCCAGAGAATCGATCAAAAATTAAAGGAAAATCATATTGCAAGAAACATCCAAGTAAAAAGTTGAAGCTATATTGTGAAACATTAGTCCAGTCAATCTGTGACCAGAGGCCAAAGAAATTGCAATAGAATTTTTTTTCAGTGGTAAAATTTCAGTGAGAGAAGGTGTCCTGATTAACATACTAAAAATCCCAAAAAATCCTTTCGGTAGAACATGGTGAAAATCGAGTTTTTCTTACTTCTACCTATAGAAAACCATTGTGGACAGAATGTTCAAATTTTGAAATCATTTTTAGGCAAATGTAACCTACATTATTGGAAAACTTAGAAAAAACTAAAATATAGATCATTAAACGGTTATATTCAATTTACTGGTAAGTTTGTCGTTATTTTGGCTCAAAGTTGGAAAAATAGTGCAAAATTTGCACGAAATACAAATTTATGGCATTTTAAATCTTGTATAACTTCGCCTGGATAGGCAAAAGCAAGATAACCGTTAATTATTTATATTCTAGTTTTTTCTAAGCTTTCCAATAATGTAGGTTACATTTGCCTAAAAATGATTTCAAAATTTCAACAGAATGTCCACAATGATTTTCTATAGGTAGAAGTAAGAAAAACTGGATTTTCACCATGTTCCACCGAAGGGATCTTTTGGGATTTTAGTATGTTAATCATGCAGAACAACTTTTCTCACACTTTACCACTGAAAAGAAATCTATTGCAATTACTTTGATCAGGACCATGTACTTATTTGATTGGACTACATGCGAGGAGTTGATCTATACGTATTGTATAGTTTTTGAACACGTGCGACCTGACATGTGTGCTCTCCACTTGAGGAAATCGCAGAAAGGAAACGCGAGGAATTAAAAAGAATATGCGAGACTCTTGAAAGTAACAAAAGTCACAGCAACCGACAATACGATGAGTTGGCAGTCACTTCATTCTACTTGGATAACAATTTAGAAGTAAAGAGCAATATACAAAAGAGGAAAAAAAGTGTCTTGAAACGTATAATGAACGTCTTGGAAACGAAAGCGCAATCCCTCATCAAACAACCGAAAACACTGCCACAGTAAAAAACCAAACAATTGATGAGGAATTAAAGAGAATTTCCGACCACAAAGCAGGACAAAGGAAGGCGTATGATATAGCAAAGGCGCTCATTGAAAATGGAAGCAACGAGGAAATCATGTTATCACACAAGTCAGTTCAGCAAAGTGTAGAAAAAAGTGAGAAAGGATATGAAAGAAAAGAGATAGATGATAAGGTGCCTCAATATAGCAATGAAGAACTGGATAAGATGTGTTATGATGAAATCAAAGAAAATAAGAAAAGTAAAGGTGGGTATATTTTTACATCTTTTGTTAACACTCTCACCAGATACTGTAGAACTGATAAACCTTCGCCCTCTATATATGTCACAAATTAAATTATGTATTTACTGAAGACAAAACTGCCTGTACAGGATACCTAATTTAAACAACAAGAAATTATTACTCTCTTAGGTACACAAGGAGGAATAGTCAACCTGAGTCAGATGTGGAATCGGTCGCCACAACGTGTTACGTTCGATGCCAAAACAGGGAAATTGGTCGCTACTGACGCACATTGTCATTTATCAGAAGACAATCAAATATTTGTACAAATGGCATGCGCAGGTTTTGTATGTGGCCCAGTAGATGAGTTGCCGTATATGTTACGACTTCTTAAATGGTTCAATGTTCTACGGATCCTGAAATTCATACATTTTCTTACTGTTCCACAAAAAGTGCACTAAGAATGAAAGGGTTCAGAAAAAGCACTATACATATATCGCTTATATATCGCTCTCCATACACTGTATAAAGTAATTAATGTATTTGATGTGTGACTTATACTACTAAATTTTAAATAAACTGCATGTGATTTGAGTATGTTTTGATAGTCGTTATACTCTGTGCGAGACTGCTATAGCTGGTGTGAAAATTGCATATCGAGCCTGTAAAACATGCAAGTACGGATATTTTCCTGTTGTAATTCTAATTTTTCGTGATGTTAAAATAGCAAATGTACAGAAAATTAAGAATATATGACATTACACACATACACTGCCGTTTCTATTATTAAGGTGTAATTCTTTATAATTATGGCAGGTATAGCAATCAGTGCATGTAGTCAAATTAATAGTAATCAAAAATTCCATACTGAATTGAGTAAATTTACTGGTTGGATGTAGAATTGAAACAACACAAAACAATTCCGTATTTAATCGTCCATAGTAAACTAAGTTGGACAGTTTTACTTATTGATTAAAAATAAAGTCAATGTTATATGGACTACAAATATTTAAAAATATCCTTCTGCGCACATCATGCCGACAGGTATGGTTCCACTGCGATCTTTTGCTTGTCCGTGATCTCGGTCCCTTGCTGATCTTTGGCTTGTCTGTTGTGTATATTGACGTGGACGTTGCGGATTCTGATCGCTGGAATAAGCACCACCAGTAGGATGTGTATTCATAGGTTGTGTATTACCACGACCATGTCCTTGTTGTGCTGTGCCAAGTTGTGAAGAGCCATCCCAAACTTGGCTCGATGAGTTGCTGGTCGACATTTTTTTAACAATGTTTTCACTGTCCTTGTAACTGTCTTTAACCGTTTGTTCTGGAACAAACACAACATTCACTAAGAGTGCTAAAGCTTTCGTGAGTGGCGTTTTAGTTATAGAATCGTGGATAATACAATTAGGGAACAACGTACATAACTATATTTTAACCCTCAGTATATAATTTATGCTTACCTGTTTACTACTTCTACCAGATCATTTGGTGTGCTTTATCGATTTATTCTACTATTGATATGCTTTAAACTTAATGATATATCTCTTCCTGCTGTGAATTGTGCGCACAATTACCGCATCAGTTGACATTAATAAAGAGCACTAAAATTTGAGTCACGAACGGAATTTTCTACGAGGAGCTTGTACCTAGAATTCGAGCAAATTTCCCAGTATATCAGCTTAGCATATGCAAATTGAGACCCTTCAAATCCTTCCTGTCAATGTAGCATCATGCGTTGGGAAATGCAAAAAGTTAAAAAATTTGAATTTAGTGTTTTGTACTTTCAGCAACCTAGCTTGAACACCCTTCACCCTGAACGCAGGCCCACGTGGTACAGGACAAGTATAGAGGGTCGTGTCACCTATAAGGGTAGGTCTCACAGTCCAACTATCCCCCCACCAATGAGGAGTCACAACAGTATACCACCACCACCATGACCAAACTTAACCACATGTTGCTCATGGCCGAAAGTGACCGACCGCGCTATGAAATTCACTTTAATCCAACTACAGGAAAACTGATTGTGGTTATAATAGTTTTGTTTGTGGAAACACCACGTAAATTTATTACTGCAAAGCTTTCGATCCGTAAGCCCGGATCTTCATCAGTGCTAATAATATATCAGTGCTAATAAAATATTATTAGCACTGATGAAGATCCGGGCTTACAGATCGAAAGCTTTGCAGTAATAAATTTACGTGGTGTTTCCACAAACAAAACTATTATATTTTATCACCATGCAAACATACAAACAACTTATGATTGTGGTTAACAAATTTAACAAACAACTTAGTTATCCTGGATAAGGCAGCGTAGCTTTCGGGTTATGTGTGGCATAAAAGGAAAATGAACCCCATCATGAATAAACTATAACAGCTTCGAATCTATCGCACTGATAAACTGTGAGGATTACATGGGCCACTGGGATTGATGAAAATTAGTACTCATGCATGTTGTAATTTATCCTGCTTTGATCTTGTAACATATAATTTAGTATCATATTTATCTTTTAATTAAATTGTATACATGAGCATACTTGCTAGTTAAGTGTGTATTATTTTAAAATACGGTACGTCGCATTCGTGGTACAGAATCCTGCACTTATATAGCAGTAAAGACAGATCAATAATATAGTTCTATATACATAATCATGTATGCATGACTATTACACAAGCCTCTACAAAATATAATTTCCAAAATCTCATCTACAGTAAATTTAGCGATTGCATTTAGTTGTGGTCAGCGGCATGCAGTGCTCAACAAAATATGATTGTAAATACAATTCAAAACAATTCCGTTCTTATTCGCCTGACAGTAAACTAAGTATATCAACTTTACTATATATACTTATTAATGATTACAAGAAAGTCAGTGTTTCATGAACTACCGTTATTTTAAAAAATCCGACAGCATACAGTTATAGCTTGTGGTTGTAACAGATGTGGTATATCCGTGATCTCGGTCCCGTGTTGCAGCAAAGCTTATATACATATACCACAATTCATTTCAATCTCTACTTCCGCCTTTCTACCTTTATCGAACAGTTATCAATCATCTCACATTTCAAGCCAGTTTATAATCATTCTGAGTGCCTTTTCGTCAAAGGACCAACCTATTTTCATTCAAGATGGCCTCAGCTAGCAGTATGCCACCAACAGATCAGGATTTAAAACGCTTACTCGAGTGTTCAATCTGCCTGGAGACATTTGACGACCCACGCACACTGCCATGTCTGCATTCGTTTTGTAAAAAATGTTTGGAAAATTTTGTGGATGGAAAACGCGATGATGAATTAAACTGCCCTGTGTGTCGTGGCAAGTTCACTTTGAATGAAGGTAAAAATACTACCTCACTGGAAATATATTTATACAGTATCGATTGTGTATCTAATATACACATGTTCTATAACAAGATATTCAAACGAATTCAAACGCATGCAGAAGGCGGGCACGCAATGTGTAGCTTGAGATTCGTCTTGATAAAAAACAATAACTGGTATTTTTTAATATTCTTAATGGCATAAATGATGTTTGGTACGAAAATAAAAACTTAAAGTTTATATATAAATCAGTAAACTTTTTGGCCATGATTGTGTTTTTCTCAAGGATTATTCATTTGTATTACATCTCTGTTGGCATCGTGCAATATCAACATTATTAAATTATTTATTGTGTTGTAGCATGTGTACATTCATTGGCAGTTGAAGAGCCACTATGTGAATACAGTACATTATCATTTTATAGGAGTGGCAGGAATGACAAGAAATCATTTTATTTGTAACATGGTCGAAGTACTGTCTATACAACAAGAGAAATGCATTCCTTGCTCCTATTGTGAACAAGCGTCTGTGGGTCGTTGTGTAACATGTGAACTGTTTATGTGTGAGAAATGCTTTAAACCCCACAACGAATTTGGAGGGTTTCAAGATCATCACGTTTTGACAATGAAAGAACTATCAAAACCTGACAATCATTCGAAGATTAAGAAAATCTCGAAATGCACCCAACATCCAAAGAAGAAAGTGAAATATTACTGCCAGACATGCGATCAATTGATATGCAGACATTGTATGGATTTTGATCATGATAAACAACACGAGTTTTCACCCATTGAACAAGCTGCGCAAAACAAGCGCCAGAATTTAAAGAAAAATTGTGAAATATTGGAAAATGCCGTTGCCAATAGTGACAAGGAAACACGAGTTTTGAATGAAGATATCCAATCGTTGAGTAACAATTTTACTATGACGCAGCGTCTAATAAACGAAAGAAAACAGCAGTTGTTGACAAAAATACTTAATACAGTTGATACAAAAACAAACACGATGATAGAAGATGCACGTCAAGTATTCGATGGCAAAAAGAAAAATATGGAAGAGGAAATACACGAAAAAGAAGCTTTTTTTAAACGTGTGAAAGTTTCCGCAGAAATGGCTCGTAGTTTGCTTGAGAATGGAGATGACGAAGAAATAGTTCGTTCGTACCAAACTGTTCAAGAAAATGTTGACAACGCAGCTAAAACGGGGTGTGGTCGACGTTCATATCACGGTGATACTGCTTTGTCTTGGAGTTCTGATGAAATTGACAAAATGCTTCTTGCAGAGGTTAAAGATATTGTAGAAGATAAAGGTATTATTAATTTTTCTACAATTTTTCTTACACAAAAGCATTGGAATTGTTATGGTTTTCCCTTTTGACCCCAACATATTTAAGTTAATCTATGTCTATATATCTTCTTTCAAGGTGATCCCCAACCTAAGGTTCGATATGAAACAAAACCTTTCGAAAGGATATATGGACGAAATGCTAATGCATTCGTCACTCATGCTTACGAAGACGATTATCGTCAAATTCAAAAGCTTGTGCAGCAGTATCCAAATATTGAAACCAGGGGTGATCTGTTTGGTTTGTGGAAAGACGAGAGAACCGTCATCATCCAACAATTCATTGGGCCGGGAAAGAACTGCAATCGTACCCCAACATCTTTCTACCAGGACACCAGGTACCTACATAGAGTTGGCTCGCTGCTTACAACTGAAGAAGGTTTATGCAACGTCGGAGAATGGCACTCACATCATCAAATGGGAAAGCCCGAGCCAAGCGATGGTGATCAGAGAACGGTGTTTGATAACATGCCTGAGCTTGGTTTGGAGCGATTCGTGCTTTTTATTGCGAGTATTGAAGGCAAAGGTTCCAGTGGGAAGAGGCGATCACATGATGCGAAGCTAGATGATATCAAGCTACGTCCCTTTTTGTTTTTAGGGTCCACGCAGACAATCGTTAAAGGTATTAAAACGGGTGAAGTTCGATGAAACTATCTTGAAAGATGTCAGAAGGATTAGGGTTGGGATGAGATTAGGCTTAGGATTGGATTTTCTAATGGGTATACCTATATACCGTTTGTCAGATGTCTTGATTAAATATTTTTATTGATTGTTTGCAGGGGAGATTGAGATAATACCTGGCTCAAACCCACATCGTCTTAACAGCAGAGCGGAAAACGAGATCGAAAACGGAAAAGAACCACCAATATATGGAAGGCAGCGGCCCACGAAAGCAAGGTAAGAATAAAAAAGAAGCCCCAATCCGTACTGAAAAACCAAAGAATGTTCCAACCCTTAAACAACAAGCAAAACCAAGAGTGGAGAGGCATGGTGAATCTGGGGCAGAATCGCCAGCACTGAGCAGCAGTGATGATAAAAGCGTTGGTGGAAAACCTCAAGATGATCAACCGCGTCGACGTCGAGAGCAAGATCAGAAAACCGCAAGGAGAAAGGAGATCAGGGAAGAAACCGCAAGGAGAAAGGAGATCAAACAAAGAGGAGGTATGGCTTTAATAATGCGGAGAATACGTCACCAAACGCAAGTTCAGCAGCACCAAACTATACACAACATGCAGTCATCATATAGATATCTTATATACACTAGATAGCGCATCTCTTTTAGTAAAATTGAAGCCAAGAATATTCCAGCGGTTACCCCCATTTGAATAGATGGCGGCCATGTTGGTGTTCCCCAAAAGCTTAAAAAACAACAATAACTTTCATCATTTGAATAGTTTAAAAACGTATTTGGAATAGGTTTACCTTAATATTTAAGTTCCGTGTTTAAGAAATAGAAAATATACAAGTCTTCTCATTTCATGGGAATATCCTGAGCCTGCAATCACGGCTTCAGTTTTTGAATTGTAGAACAATTAGATGCACTATCTAGTGTATATAATATATATATATGGCAGTGAGCATGGCGTCTCTTTCCTGATCCGCAAGATGAAACTAAGAAGAATATTTTCTTTCAATGATTTCTATTCAACGTTCCTGTCGCTGCTCGTTAACTGGAACATTCAATATTTTTCATGATAATTATATTAGCTATATACTATAAAGTACAGGAGTGCAAATTGCACACCAGCATGATTTTCAAACAATCATGTTGTGATTATAAGTTTAAAATAAAATAATGTTCAAATACTAATAGTAAAATAGACGTAGCGATGTACACAACATTATGCATTATGTATATATCATATTACATGCATGAGCACTAGCTAAGTATTGTGCTAAGTAAAATATGATGTTAATTATGGCACGTACAATTCGTGCTGAAGTCTAAAAGCTGCTACGAGGTGTGCTACAGCCTAATTTTATCATACTATATCGCGTGCAGATCTTAATTTGCGGAAGTTAATTTACGTAAATTTTCAGCTAAAAATCCCACAATCCACTTCGATATGTAGCCTACTTCCGTCTCACTAGTTTGGTTGCATCAAAAATTTTAATACCGACCACATTCGATGCCAATTTACGCGATTCTTTATTTCCTTTCGCAATACAAGCAATCCACTTTCATTCAAGATGACCTCAGCTAGCAGCATGCTACCAGTAGACCAAAGACAAGATCTCAAAAGCTTACTCGAGTGTTCAATCTGTCTGGAGACATTTGACGACCCACGTACACTGCTTTGTTTACATTCGTTTTGTAAAAAATGTTTGGAAAATTTTGTGGATGGAAAACGCGAGGATGAACTAAACTGTCCTGTGTGTCGTTGCAACTTCACGTTGAATGAAGAAGGTAAAAATACTACTTTACTTGAAACATTAACAGCTTGTATGAGCGGCCGTGTTGCATAATATAGCCTATTCAAAGCCGAGTCGAAGGCGAGCGGATACTGTATATAGATCGTGATTCGTTGTGATGAGTTTCATCGTATTCTTCAATAATCCTTAAGTACTATTTACAGCATGAGTGGTCGTGTTGTATCGAATATACAAATTCGAGCCGAAGGCGACAGTTTGTACATCCGATATACAACATGGACGAGAACTTAAAGTTTATGTATATTAGCAAGATTTTGTATCAGATATACAAGCTTCTTCACGGTCATGATTCCCTTTGTGTTTTCTTTATGAAACATTGTCAGAATTGTATATATAGGTGTATTGCAAGTTGATTTACAGCTAAAGAGTTACTTTATACTGTCTCTATAGCACTGTTTAATAAATCGTCTATTTATTATCATTTATAGAAGGAGTGGCAGGGATGACCAGAAATCATTTTATTTGCAATATGGTGGAAGTCCTGTCTATACAAGATCAAGACAAATGTATACCTTGTTCACATTGTGATCAATCATCTGTTGGTCGATGCGTTACATGCGAACTGTTTATGTGTGACAAATGTCTACAGTCTCATAATGGATATATTGGATTTCGAGATCACGTTGTCTTGACAATGGAAGAACTATCACAGCCTGAGAATCGATCAAAAATTAAAGGAAAATCATATTGCAAGAAACATCCAAGTAAAAAGTTAAAGTTATATTGTGAAACATGCGAGGAATTGATCTGTACGTATTGTATAGTTTTCGAACACGTGCGACTTGATCATGTGTGCTGTACGCTTGAAGAAATCGCAGAAAGGAAACGGGGGGAATTAAAGACGATATGCCAGACTCTTGAGAATAACGAAAGTCACAGCACTCGACAATACGATGAGTTGGCGGCAACTTCGTTCTTCTTGGATAAAAATTTGAAAGAAGTAAAGAGTCATATACATAAGAGAAAAAACAATGTTTTGAAATGTACAAAGAACGTCTTGGAAAAGAAAGCGCAATCCCTTATCAAAGAAACCGAAAACATTGCCAGAGTAAAAAACCGAACAATTGATGAGGAATTAAAGAGAATTTCCGACCACAAAGCAGTACAACGGAAGGCGTATGATATAGCAAAGGCGCTCATTGAAAATGGAAGCAACGAAGAAATCATGTTATCACACAAATCAGTTCAGCAAAGTGTAGAAAAAAGTGAGAAAGGATATGAAATTAAAGAGATAGATGATAAGGTAATAGGTAAGGTAACTGGATAAGATGTTTTATGATGAAATCAAAGCAAGTAAGAAAGGTAAAAGTAGGTATATTTTTACATTCTCACCAAATCATATTATAGAACTGATAAACCTCGCCCTTTAATGCCACATCTTAATTAATTTATTTATTAAAGGCAAAACCGCCTGTACAGGATTCCTAATTTAAACAACAAGGAATTATTATTCTCTTAGGTACACGGCAAGGAGGAATACTAGTCAACTTGAGTCAGATGGGGAATCAGTCGCCACAAAAAAGTCGTCTTACGTTCGATGATACCACCACAGGAAAATTGGTCGTTACCTCAGGTCGCTCATTCGACAATTCTATATATATAGCAATGGCACGCGCAGGTTTTGTATGTGGTCCAGTAGACGAGTAATCGTATAGATTACCCATATCCTGAAGAGTGGTTCAATGTTCTATATGGATCCTGAAATTCATACATTTACTGTTTCTCAAAAAGTGCACTTATTGGGGAACAGTGAATGGTTGATGATGTGGTTGGCCACCATTGCTGCGTCATACACAAATAACAATGCATGCCAAAACATAAGCCTATTGCGAGCGACATTTGCTCAAACGAGTTTGCGCAAGCGCACTTGCCACTTGGTGTCATTTTACTTGCGTAATCATAATATCATATATTACTGAACGCCATATGGCGACTGTCTCGAAGCGATGTCGACCAGAGAAAGGCTTTTACAAAATTGTACATCCCAAACATGAATAAGAACGCTGTTGAACTATGTATATTGTACATAATAAAGTCGTTGTTCATATAAAGTATAAATATCCAAGCCTTAATGGTATAAATAAAGTAAAATAGTTGAATGCTTCTCGACGTTTAGAGCAAAGTTAAAGGCCCTTATATTGTAGCAATGCTTGCAAACACTTGCCGGTTTATACAGACTTCAAAGAAAGGATTTCTATACGATTGCTCATGTGAATCATATCCTTGTTCCTTCTCATTTTTTCTTCGTACGCTGCATCAACCGGCAGCCAAAACCTGATAAACGCTGAAGCCGAGATCATTGTCTAACCTTTTCAATCGCAAAGTGACGGGGTCTAAATTGCGTCAAAATTTAACATTTGTCCACCAAAATGACCGCAAGGGCCCAGGCTTTGTGAATCTGCGTGTACATTTTAACATTACGCATGGCAAAACAGGGTTACGACGCTTTACACGCGGGTCGCAGGCGCATTCACAGTAATTTTTATACTAAACAATGAAATATTACGCAACTTTGAGGCAAAAGTGACAGGGCTTTTTTTAACATCCAAAAGAAAGATTTACGACAAGAAATAGCGCTATAACACAAGGAGTCCCAAGCCGAGTGTACAAATTAAGAATGTTTTATATAAACCGAGAAATGAGGTATTTTAGGGAAAAAAGCCATGTTTTCATTGCGCGATTGTATTACGCGATGTCAGCGTGACCTGACATCTGATACTTCTGACCTAATGGCATTACATGTTTTGCCACGATTTCACTATTTGTTTAAATTTCATTTTGTTTAAAGTTCTACCTGTGCACGCTTATATGGAGTTTTTTAGTTGAAAGGATTCAGAAAAAGCACTATATATAGCTTGAATCTCCACACACTACAGGTGTCCCCCCCCCCTTTCAAAAAAAAACTGGCCACCATTTGATTTTATGTAACGTAAAAGCTATGGCAATGAAATTGAGATGATTGCATTCATGCAGAAAGGACTATATAACACTTGAATTTACATGCAATATTGAGCGAGATACAACCAAAATAAAAATATTTATTATTTAACTATTTTAGTTATAGTTTTATTAGCTTCACCAACAAAAAAATACAAAATTACTATATATAAATTACATAACATAACAGAAAATACAACATATGACGTCTAAATTTGGCAGGAGCACCGCAACAGCGTCAGCCAATTACTGCGGGTCCAAAGATTATAAAAACTAGGCTAAAAATGTGTTAAAAACAAGTTAGCCGTCTTGACATGCTGCGAGAACGTTACATGAAGTACAAATTGTTTTCCATGATCGAGCGTCCTCGGGGTCATACACTGATTCAGGCGCTCCTTGCGTTATCAACAATATAGTATTGTAATTGTTAAGCTTAACAACCCAATAAGTATTGGGTTGTTAACCCTAACCCCCACCCTAACCCTAACCCTAACCTCTAACCCCCACCATCAGTGGGGTCATAGGATTGGACCATAGGATTGGACAAGAGCGTTTTTAAGGATTTGCGAAGCAAAATCCTTTATGTCATCGGGTGTGTAAGATAGATAGTAACACATAGTGACGTCGAGTTCCGAATCGAGTATTCGTGAACCGCCGGAAGCTAGTATCGGCCATTTGTGTTTGTCGATATTCGCAATCTTTCAGGCAAAAACCCCGCTCATTTTCGTAGAATACACCAACGACTAAACATTGTACCCACTTACTTTCAGCTAAACGAATGAATATACGACTGTTTTGTGCTAGAAATACAAATGGAAAAGGTCCTAAAAGACAAATTTGTTCAACTCAGGAGCGGCCGTGTAAAATAAAATCAAAAGCGATGTTTCCACTATGAAAACTGTATTGTTCCATTTTTCATTCGTATTCATTGGAAATGAATTAGAAATGTAATTGCCTGTTGCAGAATGCGGAATTATCCAAACGTTAAATTATAAAATATCTTCAACATTTCTACAAATTCAGTTTTTCTTTTATCTTCGAGGCAGTGATAAAGCCATTTAAAAGTTGTTTAAAAGTATAACAGTAATTAAACAAAAGTTGACATTGTTGACATTCGAAGAAAAGATTTGTCATGCATGATGTTGTGTTTTGTTATTCTACATTTTTGGCGATGTTTTTCCATCGTTCTTGCATTATGAATTGTATTTTTCAATCTTTGTTGCATTATAAAATTGACAACAAAATTGCAAATCCTTACGCACTCCTTGAGTTCCTATTTTTGTAGTATCCATTAATATTGATTTAAATATTAATGGATACTACTTTTAGACTATTTAACTAATTTTAACAAGTAGCCTATAATTACATCGGCAATTATAAGGTTGTTTTATGGCAATTTTTGGCATTTTCAAAAACAGTAGTTGAACATTCAAACATCAATAGCGCAGTCAATATTGCATGTAAATTCAGGTGCTATATATCAAAATCTAAGTTAGTCCTTTCTGAACAATATTTCCATGTTGCAATTCTTTTTTTCATGTTAAAATAGCAAATGTACAGAAAATTAAGAATATATGACATCACACAAATACACTACGTATTGTTGTATGATTAAGGTGCAATTCTTTATAACTATGACAGGCATACCATTCGGTGTAGTCAAATTAACAGTAAATGCTGGTTAATAGTTCTATATAGATAATCAACGTCTGACTATATCAGTCCTCTAGAAAATATAATATCATAAATTCCATACTGAATTGAATAAATTTAGTTGGATGTAGAATTGAAAACACAGCACAAAACTAAGCTGGACAGTTTTACTTATTAATGATTAAAAATAAAGTCAGTGTCACATGAACTACAATGATTTAAAAAAATCCCTCCGCGCACATCGTCTCGGTAGGTACCCATTCACTGCAATATTTTGCTTGTGCTTGATTGGTGTGTTGTGCTCCGTAACCTCGCTCCCTTGGTGATCTTTGGCTTGTCTGTTGTGTGTAACTTGCACGTTGCGGACTCTGATCACTGGAATAAGCACCACCAGTAGGTGGCATATTCATTTGGATACCACGACCATGTGCTTGTGCTGTGCCAAATTGTGAAGAGGCATCCCTAACGTGCTTCCTTTGGGGTGGACTTTGAGTAGGTGGACTTTGAGAACCATAACCTGTGGGAGCTGCTAAACTCGTGTTTGGTGACTGATTCTCATTATTAAAGCCATCTCTCATCTGTGTTTGATTTCCTCTCTCTTCGCGGTTTCGGCTTGCTGTTTTCTGGCCTTGATCTCGACGTCGAGGCTGTTGATCATCTTGAGGTTTTCCACCACCACGTTCATCATCACTGCTGCTCTGTGCTGGAGGTTTTGCCCCAGATTCACCATGCGTCTCCACTCTTGGTTTTGCTTGTTGTTTAAGGGTTGGAACAATCTTTGGTTTTTCAGATTTTTCTTCTCTTTTATTCTTCTCTGGCTTTCGTGGGCCGCTGCCTTCTTCCCTATGTTTTAGTGGTGGGGACGCTTTTCCTTTTTTGATCTCGTTTTCTGCTTTCTCGTTAAGACGATGTGGGTTGGAGCCAGGGATTATCTTAATATCTCCTGCAAACAATCCATAAAAATATTTAATCAAGACATCACATGCACAAACAGACAGTAAATATAGGCATGCCCATCAGAAAATCCTAAATCCAATCCTAAGCCTAATCTTATCCCTTATCCCAATCCAAATCCTTCTAGTTAGTTTAAGATAGTTTCATCGAACTTCACTCAATTTAATACCTTTAACGACTTGTTGTGTGGAACCCAAAAAAAGGAAGGGCTGTAGCTTGATATCATCTAGCTCCACATCATGTGATCTCTTCTTCCCGCTTGAACCTTTTCCTCCAATGCTGGCAATGAAAAGGACGAATCGCTCCAAGCCAAGATGAGGCATATTACTAAACACCGTCCTATGATCAGCTGCACTCGGCTCGGGCATTCCGATCTGGTGATGTGAATGCCATTCACCGACATTGCATAAACCTTCCTCGGTTGTAATCAACGACCCAACTCTGTGCAGATACTCGATATCTTGGTGGAAAGATGTTGTAGTGCGTTTACACTTCTTTCCCGGCCCGATAAATTGTTGGATGATGATGGTTCTCTCGTCTTTCCACAAACCAAACAGATCACCCCCGGTTTCAATACTAGGATAGTGCTGCACAAGCTCTTGAATTTCACGATAATCGTCTTCGTAAACATGTGCTACAAACCTTTCTTTTGACATTGTAATTTAGTCTTGAATTATGCTTCTATACTATTCAATGTACAATAATTCGCAAATACTTTTGCCAGCTAGTCTGTTCGCACGCCCTCAATAAACCAAAACCAAAAGTACGCCAAACTACGTTGATTCCAAGAAAACACGCTCTTTCTGAGAAAAGCGAGCATTCATAAATTCTTGGTATTATGAAACTTGAACTGCATGTAAACACTACGTGTAAACAATGAAAAGCGGAAGTGGAAATACTATTCAATGATTTATGCGATCTCAATGCAAATCAGATCATGCATTTGATTTGCAGCGACAATCTGGCGCACGATTCATATTAAATTTATATTACAAGTTGAGAGAATGAAATATTTGTAAAACTATAATGCATCAATTACAATGTCAATAACATTCCTATTTCTTGCTAAGTGATGTGAAAACGGAAAATGATTATTTCATGGTCTGATTTTACCAGAGGTTGATTATATCATCGGTCCTACCACCTGTAGAAACATATAACAAACTATCCAAACGCACTAGGTAGAATAGCGTTCTCTACAACATACTGGCAATAGTTTTGAGAACAAATTGTGCTTCATAGTTTCGTGATTGTTTGTCTGATGCCGTATTTATAAACCAAGACTGTCACCCGGCAAGACGAAACTGACACAGTGACATGTATGTCGTATGAGAATAAAATGGATGATCCATGTGTTTGCTACATTTGTAGAGACATGCATAAGCATTATCTTTACTTTGCCTAAGTTCGTCGGTCAAGACGGATCATTCTACAATAAATCGGGTGATTCCAAATTTCGTTGTTTGGGAATGCCTCCTAGTTTATTCATTATTCCTACAAACTACAAGTAAAAGCGAAAGCGGAAATGAAATTGAAATATTTTGTTTCAGATTACCACCAGGTGGTATTTCAAGGGAAAACCCTTTCCGGGAATCGACTACAACTTTCGCTATTGCATTTTGAAACACGTATGAGCAGATTTTGTGGCAATTCAGCACGACAAGTTGACTAAGAATGGAAGGCACAAAGAAAGAAGAAAAGCCCGTCGTTTGTTTCTTACAACCCGGTTTCATCCAGCAAGTTAAAGGGCAAGAGAGTCCTTGTTTCGATGTGGCGGTGCTGGACGATGCGACTGTGTTTCATGTACGTCTTAGAGATTGCACAGGTAAAGCGAAAGGAACAGGGTGCACGGAGAACGGGCATGATTGTCACGAAGCCTACGCTTGCAGTTCAACGAAAGTGTTCCTGAAGGTTTTTGGCGAAGGAGAAAGCCTTGATGATGAAGAGAAAATCAAAGCAACGTTACCGGAGAGCTTTGGCGGAGAAGCGGCAGGAAAACCTGAACTACTTTTGATCATTGGAGAAATATTGAACGAGAAGAAGGAGAAAGAAGATGGTATCAAGGTGTGTATAATTTCCTTGCAGGATTGTATGGTGATTGATATAATTACGTTGCTCTTGTAGAGAACCCCGCGTTTGTTTAAAGCGTGCTTTCCATTTGTAGGTTCCGGCTGTCGTGAACTGGTCATGACTGCCAATGTGAAATATTCTAGATCGATCTGGTCTCTGTGTGGAGATATGCAGTAGGCGGGTTGCACCGAATACTATTGTGCAGTCAATGATACAAACTCAACCGGCAATTGTTTGGGTTGCAATGAAAAAAACAGAATAGAAAGACGTACTATAATTTGCTTGTTCCTATATAAAGTTTTAACATTTCTCAAGTTAACCACGATGAACTGTTCTACAAAGGTTACAGAAAGCCATCAATTACACAAATATACACCGACACTCCATTACAACGACTACCGCGCGATCGGTCACGCCCTAATTAAAATTTGCCTCTGCTCAGCAAATCTTCGCCCAGATTTTCATCAGTGCAAAGAAAATAAAACTATCCGTTTATTTTCACACACCCTTTTTATAATAAAAGTTTAATGATGTTTGCAAGCATTGTTTAGAATTTGATGAAATCACGAATTATCTATTATTAATATCTAAGTCGTTTTCTATTTTCCACATAAGGTGTTTCTACGAAGAAAGAGTTCTCCAGAACCGGTGGAATGCGATGTGTTGGTCCAGCCCTCAAAGGATCTGCTCTACTCTCGAAGCAAGGGAATCCTTGAATCAGGAATACTCGAAAAACGTAAAGTTGCAATTGTCGGCCTCGGTAGCGGCGGATCGTTCATCGCAGTGGAATTGGCGAAAGCCGGTGTCGGGCATTTCGTGTTGGTTGACTTTGACCGTATTGAACTGAACAACATTGCAAGGCACGTGTGTGGGCTTAGTGATCTGGGACGTCTTAAAACCAACGTGTTACGAGATATCTTGCTAAACAAGAATCCGTTTATTACCATTGAGACTCATTGCTCTGATATCAACAAAGTGCAAGAGGCAAGGAAAATCCTGAAAGATTGCGATCTGATTATCGCCGCGACCGACAACGTTCGTAGCCGGCTTAATATTAACAGCATCTCCATTGAACATAATATTCCAACAATCTTCGGCAAATGTTCGGTGCGTGCAGCCGGTGGCGAAGTACTCCGAGTTCGTCCGAACGACGGGCCTTGCTTCAGTTGTGTGTTCACTAACCAAAGCTTGGAGGCAAGCCAAGAAGAGGTACGTATGCATCACTAACCTCAAATCTATTACATGGTTCACCTGCTTATGCATAAAACCAATGGCAGACATATATTGGTGTGACCACCACAAATCTACTGTCGTGTTGCCGATTTGTTAGACGAGCACTTTCTGGTAATTGGTAGGAAAGGACACCTATTCTCTAGATATACATATGGTTTTCAGTGGGTTAAACCTGATACTGTAGGTATAAGATAATAAAGATATGGTATTCACATAAGTTGGGTTAACTTCCCTGTGCTTAAAAAAAAACCATCCTCTCCTTTGATAGGACCTTTCCTTTGATTCAAGGTTTTTCGCAGCTCCTTTGGGTGTCCCCCTAGCCAAAAACTAACCTGGAGGCCTTATTTGTTAATCAGATGTATCATGAGCTTCTGGTTCGAGTGAATTGAACATCCACACTCAGTGTAATCGACATTAAATAAATTACTACTTCTCTTTTAGGTGTCTAGTTTCAGGCAAGCGAGAGCATCACAACCAACATATGTCACCGATGATGAAGTCGAAGCTACCATTCAAGTTGGGCTATCATCAGATATTATCCCTATTGGAATCATGGCCGTGAAGTTAGCTCTGGTCGAGTTATGTCGTGGTGGAGACAGCGCCTTGGCTACATTAGAGAAAGATTTGGTAGCACCGTACTATCGTTGGGCTAACCGACGAGAACAGGAGTTTGCAGGCTATCCTGAAGATGGTTTTGCAGTTTTCAATCAGCCGTCCATCCTACGCTGGTATGCTGTGGATTTTGAAAGGAAATCAGATTGCACCGCATGCAGGCCATTGCCTCAGATTTCTGAAGAAGAGGCGGCATTCTTTGGCAGCTAGACTGTGCCATCTGTCCTGGTGTATCTCTTCTGCCTAAATTAAAGCTTTTAGCATACCGTAGAATTAATGTACAATTTAGACACTGCTTATTTCATGTTCAAATAGATTGATTAAATTACAATTTTAATTACAAAAGCTTCAGCTGGAAGTTTACATGTATAGGTACTATAGTTGATGGAAACTCAATGAAAAGTATATTAATATCACGTATATCAGTTTGTCATTTCAAGACGAGAGTAGAACATTTGCAAAACTGTTGCAAGACAAGTTTTACAAGCTTTAGCAAAGTATGGGAACTGTGTTTATCTTATTTAATATTACCACTACAGCCTTACAAAGCATTTAGGCCATGTCAACATATATAATATGTAATTGTATGCAATGTATATTGCTAGTAGCCCGTATAATAAACCATTATTGCAAAAAGATGCCATGACAATATTATTGACCATATACAAGATTCATGATGATTAACGCAACTGAAATGTAGTTACAAATGCCTGGTAATACCAACACTTATTTCTTATTAATGAAACACAAAGAATTTGCAATGGTATGTCCCCCCTGCTTGTGGCTCTGTAACGTCATTAAAGGGGACCTTGGTATAAAAATATTTTTATTTTCCATTACAATGGCTCATTCACACGATATCGCTTTCACTTTAGCAGATAAAAATATCTGCAATTTCAGTTGAAGTCCTCTTCCAGGAATACACATATTAGGGAAACAGCAGGAGTTCTCACCCAAAATACATGCCAATGTCAATGAATGCCGGACATATATAATACAAAAATGAAGAGTTTAATCCATTGCACACATTATCTACATCCATCATGAAAGCTCAGGTTTGAACTTGTATATTCATTATGTAAAATGGGCTGACTGTAAAGTGAAATAGAGAGAGCACAAATCCACATATTTAAGATACAAGACAAAATATTCTCAGGACTTATTAATAACTGTAAACATTATCCTTGCGCGCGATGGCATGGAGGAACATACATTATACACGTGTCTATATTGATTGTAATGTGTAATTTTAACTTTACATATACTTTCGTTTTTCGGCCAAGAATTTGAACAGGTCCGGATACATTTAGTAAAGTGAGCATAACAATTGTTCACTAAAAACATTCTAGAATTTGCACTGTTTTCACTTTCAATTTGATTTTCTTAGAATTACATTTATAAATCATGTTTCGACGCATTTGCAGAGAATGATAGAATTCAATTCCAGCAATCAGACGTTGTCATTGCAGGATTGTTTTCACTTTCAATTTGATTTTCTTAGAATTACATTTATAAATCATGTTTCGACGCATTTGCAGATTATGATAGGATTCATTTCCAGCAACCAGACGTTGTCGTTGCAGGAAAGTCTAGGCGTCCCAATATACATTGCAATTTGACCACATAATCAATGCCATCATGATGCAACCTTTTTATCAGGCAATGTAATGACAATAACATATTGTGCTACGGCTTGGAGAAATCTTTCAGAGCAATACGTAACACGCACTGGGGCATTTTTAAAATATTTAAAATCCGTGTGGTAGTTTAGTTTAGTTAGAACTTAATTTATGTAGTAAATTTGATATTGTGCACTAGCGTGTTGAAATACAGTAGATGCAATTATTATTATGATTATGATGATTCATTGTATAATATTTGAAGCACAAAGTCAAACAGGTTTTAAACCGGTTTCATATTCATTTAAATACGGGGAAAACCCAGATGAAAACACGAAGGGAATGTACCGAATATTACCAAGAACCTATTTCCATAACCTTATCACGTGGTTTGTTGATTCTCGTTTGTGATTGGCTAATTGTTGCATGTGACCTTTTAACACTGCCTTGTGATTGGCTGGGCTCTTGCACAGATAAAGGAGCGTGCAGCATTTGTTAATTATTCGTGCGTAGCGAGTGATCTAGAGCGAACTACGCAGAGAGAAAGACCATTCAAAATCATTTTGAACGCCGAAGAAGTATTCTATAAAAATGTCTAATAGCAAGGATATCCAAGGCCATCTTTCCCAAGTTGCGCGAGGACAAGAGCCGTCGGAGAAGCTAGAATTTGATCCACAAACTGGCAAACTGCGAGTGACAAGAACCCCGAACCCAGACAATGTCGTCGCAACGAAAATGGCAGCCTCTGGATTCTTTGGTTTCACCTACATAACGACAACGTCGCTTGTTGCAGATATAGAAGAAATATTTTGATACAGTGTTTGATATAATGTGGCGATTTAGACATTTTGAGAATGGATCTTGTGATTTCCTGGTATTGTGTCGTTTTCTTAGTATTTGGTAGTTTCGTTTTGTTTCATATGACTCAGTAATGTCTCTTTTGATGTCTATAACTATGTATCGATTGTGTTCAAAATTGTGTGGTATAATTTGGTTGTTCATCTGTGTGTCTAGCTCTTCAGGCAATGGAAATGACTTGAACATTGTCCTCTACAATGAACTATTATTATTGGTTTCAGTTTCACCGTGGTTCCACTTGTCAAATCTCTTCACCGCTGCATTGGCGCTGCGATCGTGTTACGACTACGTTGTGCGTCTCTTTATTCATAGGACTGCTACATTGAACAAGTATATTTTGTAATTTAGAAAGGCTTAACCTTCTTGTTTGGTAAAGATTTAATTCAAAATCGCTGTAAATATATAGCAAATAAATGTATAATTTACTATGGGACAGACGTAAAGACACGTAATGTTTACTGAAAAAGACGTTAAAATCACTTATATTGTATTCAAAATTTACAAAATGCACATAAATGCAATGATGTAAATGCTCTCATTAGTTTGGTGTGTTTTCTAACATATAGAATATGCTAGGTTGCAAAAAATACTGTTTTGGTTTTCCTGGTAAATATATCAGTTCCAAGAACTCTTCCGGTTTCATTTTCGACCGCGCGTCCCATGGGAACGTTCAAATTAGCCCTCGAAGTAATAGTTCAACAACTAGAAAATCAGAAATTACTTTTTGAACTAAGATAGCAATGTCCGCTTTGTCTGTTCAATTATGAGCATTTATAATAATACTCGTTAAAATGAAATGCTACCCATACCGAATGCAAAGTATTTCTATGTACGATTTATTCAGTAAGACAGAGTATCCTACAATCTGGTGTGTCAAGGACAACAATGCTAGAAATACATATAAACTTCCGCTTGAAATTCCTATCTACCAAACTCCTTCAACTTTTAGTTCTATCGAGAGAAATGCCCAACAATCTCCATAGGTCCAACCTAACCCCATGCGCTGGAGTTACATATACTCTCTGAAATTAACACTGTGTGATTGCGTCTCAACATATACTCCAATAATGCAAACAAATACTTCTTGTATAGCATAGCGGAGTCTGGTGCTCTTTCCAAGGGTAAGTAGTAAGTACAGTGTTTTATCCTAAATTTATCTCCATACGTAGTGGTGAACTATCTACGAACTATAGTCTTACTCTCTGAAATTAACAGTGTATTGTTGTGTTTTTACACAACCGATAACAAAGCAATACTTTTTGGCGAGTTGAGGCAACAGACTAGTATTTTATAGCGTGGTGCTCTTTCTGGCAAGACAAAGTGTAGTAGTGTTATCTCAACATTTTTGGGTTAAATTTAAGCGCAAACTAAGTCCATCACCTTCAAATTGTAATTGTATGATTTGCAAAGTAGGCGCGGTAACATATATAGAGTCACTAATATTGTGACTCTTCTAAGATTATATATGTGTGATAATGTCTAAAAGTCTGTCTAAAATACTATTGCATATCTCATCAGCATTTCTGATAAACCTTCAGCGATCATTTAACCAGGTAAAGAACTTTCGATCTGCAGTTGGAAAATCTACAGGAAAATGTTGCGATCTGTATCCTGTATACATATTATATACATTGCATGAATCCCTAGACATCTCTACAGATACGTGGTTGATTTAAAGCCATCTACCAAACTTTTGAAGAGACTGTCACCACCATCTGATTCGTGCGATTGTGAAAGTCGCCCCATACTTGCTGGTACGGCTGCCGCTTTGCTTGGTGTGACGTAAGCATTGGTTGGTATGACGTAAGCACTAGTTGGTATGACGTAAGCATTGCCATTGGTTGGTGTGATGTTTGAATAGGATGGTGTGATTTTCGCTGGTGGTTGATGGTCATTCGTCGGTAGCATATTTGTTGAAAAGTAACCAGTATATTGGTGGCGTTGTGATGGAAATTTTACACCAGGTTGGTTGATTTTTTCAAAAACTGGCTCTAGTAATCTAAAGCTGCTTGCACCAGGAAGAACATCTAAAATAATAAAGCAGAATTTAACTATAGGTTGCACTGGATAGCTCTATTATTTCTACACTGTTCTTCCTAGAGGTCCCTAATGGTCATCCTTAATCCCTTATTTCTCCAAGGTTCCCATACACCGGAGGAAGTGTTCGCCACAGGAAATTTTTGAAAAGAAACTGGGCGTAATCAGCAAATTAATTCGATGTGTACAGGAGGTTTCAGACCCCAGTTACACGATACCGGATTTGCATCGGAGCGAAATTAAATTTTACAGTTTCAAAGGGAGTTCAGCACTCAAAATTATGATAATATAACAGAATTAGTCAAAAACTTCAAATATGAAAAGTTGCATGTAAGAGGCCGAAAATCGTCTTACAGTAGTTGTCGCTCGACTCGCTCCGAATTCGGTATCGTGTAACTGGGGACTAAATGGTGATTTGACTAATCCCTACCAAATGTTACTGTATAAGAAATGTACTTATTTATAAGGATGGCAATGCTATGAATGTCATGTACAACGTACAGTACCTCTAGTGGTCAGACTAGCAACTCGGGATGATTGTTGTCCTTCTCTGTCAATTATTTGATATTCAATTTCCAAATTTCCTTTTGTGTGATTATCAACAAACATCAAGACAACATATCTTCCTTTCTCCGGCATTAACGGGTTGTAAAGATCATAATCTGGATGACCACGATTGACTATAATGGGAAAATCTTTATTTTCGACAGATTTAGGTACAATTACTTCAACTAACAGAGCGTCATGGATGCAATCTGTATGCATACATTTATACATAAACGAGCAGCATAATTAAACAGTTACAAACATATAATAAAATAGAACTATATATTCTGAGGCTAATTATCGAATAAGAAATCAGAAATGTAACCACATTCTATATATCTAACGATACATTCATGTCTATATATATTAACGGATTAGTCGTAATGATATCGAGAAGTTGCTCTCTTGAATCAATTATTATATAAAGGAAATCCAGTGTACAGAGCCACCCATGCAACAATACACTGGTATTTGCATGTAATTTCCACCATATTTAGTCGTTCCGGACATTGGTAAAGATAACATAGATGTTCCTCTTAAAGAATAGATAATTAAACGCATTGTACACATGTCACATATCCTTCATAAAACGAGGATAATCTTGAAAGTGCATGCATCATTATACATTCGCCGCATATAGACTCAAGGTTGAAGCTCCTCATGCAAAACCGATTGCACTGGCGATAAGAAACGAATTCATTCACCAATGCACTTATATAGAGCTATCAATTAAGTGCATGCATGCGACGAATAACGTTCTTTCCATAAGTTCATTAAGTTCTTTCCATTATATATTGTGGTCTTGTGGCTATATTTGGTGATCAATAAAATCGAGAAATACTTTTGCTTGCTCGTGCTCATATAAGCAGAGAGAGAGAGAGAAAGAGAGTTTAATATATTGAAAATTGAGTCTGACAATATGTCAGACCAATGTCTGACAATATGTGAGACCAATTCACTTTTCAGACATGATCGGAAACTAATTATTTCTATAATGAGAACTCAAAAAAAGAAACATTGTATAGTATATTGCATTGTGATTTGTTTCATGCACTAATTGTATACAAAATTTGAATGTAATTATAAATTCAAAATAATATAGCCATTCAAAATAATACAGTCATTCAAAATAACATAACCATTTAAAATAATATAGCCATGTGATCAATATACCTCAACAACATTACAAAGTTGAAAGGAGTTTCATTCACAAATCTTAGTTTAGTGTATTCCAATTAAGAAAACTTTGTTTGCATGAGTATTAACAGATTAGTAAGAGATGTGTTTTGTTTTGCAAGGATAAATTATTCAAATCAAAATGGCAGAATACCCGGTGCCAAACTGTTGTTTTGCTTGGACAATCGCCGAATATTTATATTAAACTCTGCGATTATATAGATTATAGCAATATAGGTATAACGATACTGTTGCAGTGTTAGCATTAGCCTTAATACAATACAATAGTCAATCCCTCTGAGTCAATCCGAAAACGGTAAATATTTTGAGAAGTGTTTATTTAGTCGTTGTAAGGAATGATGAAATTACTACGTATCAAGGTAAACAAGTTCATGCAGAAATATGATAAGTACTTCATTGAAACGGTTTGCCATTTTGGATGTGACTATTGTATTGCATGATTTCTACGATTTACGATATACATATTATAGATACATTAGAGTTTCTTACTGCACTTACGTGAAGGGTAGCGGTTAGAATTTCCGGAACACCATAGACCTATCTGCAACAAACCATGTTGTTGTTCCAAGTATTTCTTCATTCCAAGATGATAGACACCATCAGGGCTAAACGTTTTCTTTGATATTGTGGATCTTTCTCCAGGTCCTGTGATGAGATGAACTACAGGCTGCATTAAAGAGTGTCTCCATAATCCAAATAGATTGCCGACAATCTTTAACTCGGCGTCTTTTGCGACACTAATTATACGTAGAATTTCATTGAGTTCGCCTTCATTTATCAGCAATTGCGAAGTAGGAGAGGCCATGTCTTCATTTGAGGAGTCTTTATTTGGATTTTAGGATCATACGAGAATATAATTGTGTTGATATGTTATGTATTCAAATGTTTTCAAGTGAAACCAATTAACTCACAATATCGCCCCTTTTGTGTAGCACTGCCGAAAATGGCAACTATTGTGAATACGATTAGTTTCACAATATTGCGATATCCGTTTGTTCCGTTATGAATATTTATAATAATACTCGAAAGAACTCCGACCATACTCGAAAAAAAATATTTATACGTTGTATTATCTATTTCCTATTTAGTAAGGTACAGAAATTAGTATACATTTATAGTTTGCTTGTCCATTATGAATTACAGTAGTGCTGTAGTTATGTAAAATTTTCACTATTAAATTAGGTACAACCCAAGCCCACTACTCACTAGAGTTAATTAACCCTCTGAAATAGAGTGTTCTTGTGCTTGTAAAAAGCAATATTTTCGGCGAACAAGCCAACCTCGAATCCAGGAAGTCCTGCAGGGTACGAAAAGTGTCAACAGGCAGTCTGTCGGGTTGAAAGACTAAGTGCAGTTTCGTGTGAGAGAATGTTTAAAGTTCTGTGTAATATAGTATTACATATCTCATCAGCATTTCTGGTAAACCTTGAGGTGTCATTTAACCAAGTTAAAGACATTCGACCTCTTGGAAAATCGACAGGAAAATGTAAACAAATGCTGCGATTTATTTCCAATGTCATATCATGCGAGTTTGAATCCCTGGACATATCTACAGACACGCCGTGTGATTTAAATCCATTTACCAGTTTTTTCAAGAGACTGTGGCCACCATCTGATTCGTACCATTGTGAAGGTTGTGGCTCATGCTCAGGTGTTGGTACAAAAATCGCTTTATTTGGTACGCTTGGTGGTGGTGGTTGATGGTGATTTCTTTGAAGCATACTAGTTGAAAAGTAACCAGTTTGTTTCTTTTGACGGGCAGAAAACTTTGCACCCTGGTTGAGTCTATCAAAAACTGGATGGAGTAATCTGAAACTGCTTGCACCAGGAAGAACATCTGTGAAACAATGAAACAAAAAATCAGAAATTAACTTACTATATTGATAATGGATCAGTTGTAAACTGTTATTCCTAGAGGTCTATTGGGGGCCCTCCCTTATTTAGTCAAGCAATGGCGAATGAAACAACATGTGCTTGCCAAACCCGGTTGTGTGAGAAAATATTTTCCGCTTCTTTCGTTCCTTAGCCAGCGGAAAATAACACTTTAAAATAATTAACCTAATATTGGTAGGTACGTAAATGCTACGCCATTTACAAGTACTAGTTAAATGAAACATGAGCAGCTGATCTTTATCTGATACGGCTGGTTAATTTTGCAGGTTGCAGGTTTGCAATTCCCTGCATCCAGACGAGGAATAAGATCAGTGACTGATCTCCACTTCCGGTTTTCAGCATGATCTCTGTGGCATGATGGCGAGTTATTTTCATGCAAGAATTTGAAATCAATTTATTTCGATTTTGAAACTCAATGTTTAATACCGATAAAAGGCAGTTTAGTTTTAAGAACATTTTGAAACGTTTTGCGATGCATTTGTGGTTGATTTTTACATTAAATTGAAGCTTATATTACGTATAATAACATACCTAACATATATATGTTTGGGAAATTGATCATTTTGGGGGATTTTTCAATTTTAAACTATATTCTTAAAATTATCGTGTTACCATGACAATACTTCATGTTTGGAAAACATAATAGTTTTGGCAGCAAGGCGAGGGTTTCTGCATGCATGTATTTTCTAGTATAGTAAATAAACGTGGGTCTGTTTTCAGGCTAGAATAAAGTTATATTGTTTGTGATGAAAACCGGAAGTGGAGATCAGTCACTGATCTCATTCATCGTCTGGATGTAGGGAATTGCGAACCTGCAACCTGCAAAATTAACCAGCTGTATCTGATATACAAACTCGAGCCGAAGGCGAGACTTAACGTACTTAAAAAACGACCCATCTTATGAGTTCATTGGCGAAGTAATTTTAAAAATAAACATTGTCTAAGCCGAGAAAATCAAAGCTAAAGTTTATGTAAATCAGGACAAATCTTTATCCGATTTACAAACATTGATTAAACATTAATTTCCTTTGAATTTTCTTAATGAATTATTAATGAGTTGTAATTTACCTTTTTCAGTAAGACTGGCATTTCGAGAGGATTCTGGTCTTGCTTTGTCAATTATTTCATATTCAATTTCTAGATTTCCTCGTGTGAAATTAACAAACATCAAAACAACATATCTTCCTTTCCAAGGCACCAATGTATTTCGGAGATTAAACTCTCGACTCTTGCGATCGACTGTAATGGGAAAAATAGAGGTATAAAGATAGTTTATAGATATATCTTGGCTGGCCATTAAATTCCATTAGCTCAACAGCGCTCTGCAGGGTCATAGCATGCATACAAATATACTAATAAATGTATAAGATTTATACTTGAAATTTCCATTTACAAAATCTTTCAACAATTTGTTCTTTTGAGTGAGATGTCCAAAATCTGATATTTACCCATACATCTTACATTGCCATCACCTTATAGTATATGTATACATGAACTTGCGATTAGAGCTCGACAACTGGACTCTGTAAGCTCAGTTGGTTAGAGCTCTGTATACCGGAATCACAAGGTGAGCGTCGATAGTTGCATTTATCGTAACTGCTCCTGGTTAGATGTAATAAATGTACGAGATTTACACTTGAAATTTCCGTCTACAAAACCCTTCAACAATAGACCTTTCCCCTTTTGAGTGAAATTTTGATCAAGACAAGTCTGGACAAAAATTTCATCACAACTTGAAAGAGCATCACAAAATTAGTAATGTTCCAAAGTTTCGTTGGGAAATGTTGTAAAATGCGGATAATATAGCCTTGCAAAGTTTGCCGTTTTTCAGTCATTTTGTATTACAAATGGGAAATTGATAATCAGATGATCAAACTGATTATCAATTTTCCGTTTGTAATACAAAATGACTGAAAAACGGCAAACTTCGCAAGGCTATATTATCCGCATTTTACAACATTTCGCAACGAAACTTCGCAATATTACTAATTTTGTGATGCTCTTTCAAGCTGTGATGAAATTTTTGTCCAGACTTGTCTAGATCAAAATTTCACTTAAAAGGGGAAAGGTCTATATACCAAGTACAAACTGGAGGTTACAAGTTCAACCGTGTGTAGGATTCTGGAACTTTTCCTCAGAGTTTCACAGTTTGCACAATCAAAACAAATAGCTGTGCTCCACTATCATGCAGTATATGATGACCAATACATGGGCATGCAGTTGTCAGAGTGAGAAAATGTTATCCTTTCTATCATACAAAGTGTTCCAAAATTTTAGTGGTTTAGATTTTTACACAGCTACAATAAATATTACTGACATTATTACACTTACGTCTAGGGTATCGGCTTCTACTTCCGGAACACCATAAACCAATCTGTAACAAACCATGATCGTTGTCCAAGTACTCCTTAATTTCACTATGATAAGCACCATCAGGCTTAAACATTTCCTTTGACACTTTTGCCCTTGCTCCAGGACCTGTAGCTAGCTGAACTACAGGTTGGGTTAAAGAGTTCCTCCATAGTCCAAATAGGGAGCCGACAATCTTACATTCAGGGTTTTTTGCGGCACTAATTATACGTAGAATTTCATTGAGTTCACCCTCATTTATCAGCAACTGCGGATCAGATGCCATGTCTTCATTGAGGGAGTTTGGAAGTTGATTACGATGACATGAGAATATAATTGTGAGTCTTGATATTTGTATTCAAATGCTCTTGAAAGTGAAACCAATTATCAAACATACCCCCTTCTGTGCGGCACAACGCAAAATTCCAAGTATCGTCGGTAATGATATGCAAAAATTATCAAAAAATTCCTTAACTGTTGTAAATTGTGATTAAAAAATAATCGATCTCTTTCTTCGTAATTCTAGTCCTTTGATTCAAAATATTGCAAATTGTCTGGCTTCTTTATTTGTCGTTTAGAAATTACACGTAAAATTCCATTGAGCGTACCAGCTAGCCTTGCCTTTATTAGTTGACGGATATGGAAAGATATGGATGAGTTTATATCTTTAAAAGGAGTTTGGAAGTTCATTTGATATGAGAATTGTTAGTGTTGATGTGTGTATATCAAGTGTTCTCCAAAGTGAAAGCAATTTAGCAAAATATATCCCCTTCTGGGTGCCACACAATGCAGAATTCCAAGTATTGTTAATAAATACGAAGAATATTGTAAACCAATCAGTATATTCAACGTTTCAGATTAAAAAGATAAGGCACAGTTGTGTTCCTCAAATCCCGCTGTGATCATTTTCACAATATAGCTTGGAACAATTTTTCCATTGCCTATTCCTGTATCTTTTCGACCATTCAGGGACTAATTTTACACATGTTTTAATATAACAGTACCTCAGTGAATATTATTTTTAATAATTTACTAGCCTTTATTAAAGGTGAAACCAAATGCCACCTCCTGTGCATGGCACTATGCAGAATTCCAAGTATTACAAATCAAAAGATATGTAAAAAATTACAAGTATACTAAGATTTCAAGTGTGATTAAGAAGTTACCAAGAAAAATGAACAATAATTCCAAGTATTGCGATTAAAAATAAACGAACGCCTGCCGTGCTCCACGAAAACAACGCAGAATTCCGAGTAATATACATTAAAAGTAAAAGTAAAGAAGAAATGATTCCACATAATTATAAATTGTATGTGATTGCAATGAAGCAAGTAAAGTGAAAGTAAAAGCTGGAGAAAATTAGTTCAGTGGATTGATAATTTTTATGAGTTTCTCCTTTATTCTACACATACTATATATAGAGGTCCATGGAAAGTTTTGAATTTGACTTGCATGATAGCACCTATATATCCTTTGTGTTGTCCATTTTTCAATTAACATAATACAGTTTGTGACATTTTGCTGCACATTAAGATATAATTATATCAGTGTTTCAAGCAACAAGTATATATAATGATATAGTTAAAATGATCAAGATTACGATACATACTGTTTTTTATCAAATGACTAGGACATCTTGTAAAGTGTATATGTAAACATTTTCTGCTACTAATAATCCTACAAATATATGGGTAATAATTTAACAATAGGAAATAATTGCTAATTCTAAACAGCAAAAAGTTACATCAAGAAGAATATTACTACAATGAAAATTAAACGTCAAATTTTAGTAATTATTGCCTCCTCTACCACCAGAAGTATGTCGGCCTCCATAACGTGATGACTGCGGTGGATTTCGAAGAAAATCCACGACTGCTTGTACCACCGTTTTACAAACATCTTCATCACTATTGGACCGACGTTTGAACTCGTGGCGCGAACCATCGGCAGCACGGAGTGTCGGCATTTTCTTCGGAAAATTGGCAGGAAAATCTAAGCAATAGCCACCACTTAAACCAAACTGCATATCTTGAGTAACTGTGTCTCTAGACATGTCAGGTGTAATATCAGCTCCCTGAAAATACTGGAACAAAAGCTGTAAAAATTCCATTCCTTCGCCAGTGGCATACCATTGTTTGTCGCTTGTTACAGCTTCTTCAACTTGCACTCGAGAAGGTAGATTTTCGATAAGATTTGCTGCATTTTGTCGAACTGGGCGGCCATCATGCACTGGTGAAACCTTGTCTCCTTTACTGTTGATTTCAGTTGTGAGTGCTTTGAACTTCCTGAATGAACTGTGGTCTGGTAAAACGTCTGCAACAGAAACGTAATTACAGTCGGACCTCTCTAATACAGACAATAAAGGTACACACCAAAGTGTCCATATTAGAGAGGTGGCCGTTATTATGTGGAAACTGTTCGTAATAAAGGGGTGCCGAAACAGAGAAGTGTCCGTATTAGAGATGTGTCCATAAGGAGAGGTTCGACTGCATTTCAAAATCCTTCATGTGAAAATAGTAGGAATTGTACGGTTCAAAGTATTCAGCTAACCTAATCCCCACACTAATTACATGGGTATATTCATAGTCTTAGGTTATATCCCATAAACATGCAAGTGCTCTTGGGAATGATTTGACCAGGCCTGTCCCTGGGAACGAAGTTGGCCTGTCCACACCTCACTACCAAGAGAATTTTATAAATGTCACTCAGTCCTTACTCAATCAACTGGATATTGTATACTTTACAATAACTATAAGATGCAATAATGTTGTTTTATTACAAATATCAATCCAGGAGGAAATCTAACCTCTATCGCTTGGAAAACCCACCTTCTCTAAAGAGTGGACTTGATTCTTCCATTCTACCTTTCCTCAAAAGGTATTCACCCCCCAGCGATTCACCGCGTGCTTCCTCGTAGTTGATAAACAGTAAAACGTTGTACTTAGGTCCGCTTGTAAAGACCATGCTTTCAGCTAAAATAAACAAACAACAAAATCTATGTAAAATGTTCTTAGAAACGATAAAAACCTCGATAAAAAACTTTGAATACATTGCGTTATACTGTAAGTACGACGCAGCAGATGGCCATCTTCAGAAATTTTGGCGCTTATACATGTATAGGAGCAAGAAAATTAAATTACAGTACAGTACAGTATGTCTCTCGATTCTATTTATTGGCCATCCAAAACAAAACTACGACATCTAATCAGAAAAAAGTTTATCACAATGAGAACCGTTGGTTGACAACCATCCGCTGCACGAACAATCTCGTTCCCAGGGTATGTCGTTTGGGAACGAGGAATTGCTGCGCGACAATGGTTTATAAGTGAACCTATATATAGCTATAACTGTACATAAGGACTAGGAAATATTCCACTGTAATTTATATGCAACTGTTTTATAGTCACACACTATCGTTTTCTGTCGATTTATCGGTAATCATATGCTTGCATGTAGTTATGAATATAGTAAAACGGAGCAAACTATGAATCTGTCATATCAATACAAACCTTTCTTCTGATCTTCCTCTTCCCGGCCGTAGAACCAGAAACCAAGATGCAGCAAACAATGTTTTTCCATCATGATCGTCGCACACGATTCGACATGTTTACTGCTAAACATATTTTTAATGCCTCTGCTGTCATCGAAATTTTCGCCAGGGCCAGTCACGAACTGAATGACTGGCTGCTTTAAAGAGTTTCGCCATAGGCCAAACAAACAACCTCCAACGAATCTGTCATTCTTGTTCAATGATGCCCTGATTGTCTTGACAATATATTCCAATTCTCCAGCATGGAGTAACAATTGTAAGCTGGATTGACTCATGACGAATTCGGCAACAACACCTTCGAGTTAACAACGTATCGAAAGTGTACGGTTTGGATTTGAATACGAAAACGGAAGTGGTTTCAAAGTGAAACTACACAATACTAATAATTCGGCTTCCTGGAATGCGCAGCGATTAGAATTTCAGGGCAAAGGTCATTTGGTTCTTGGAAGACGAACTATTCTTGTCTTCCAAGAACTGGTGAAAACAATTTATTATTTATATTGTTATTAACGGTTTGCGTGTTTACACTCCGCTAAAGGTCAGATGCAGTGTATAGTACTTACAGTACAGTATAAGGCATTTCTTATTAATACTCAACAATAACATGCAATTTATTTTTGTAGCCGCCCGCGCTTGACTTATTGTCAATTTTGTCAGTAGCACTTTTGTTCTTTTATTTCTTCGTCTACATTTTTTCTAAATACTATGATATGTTTGAAACATCCTCAAAAATAACAAACTCAAAAATAACAAACTGACCTATATTGCCAGTTTGTTTTAGGGTTTGAGTTAGATCTTCGTAAAGTCAACCATGTCCATGAATAAAGTCTAGGTTTTTGTTAATGGTTGATCAGTCAATGGTCGCGAGACTTCTCTGCTCATTTACTCCGCAAGCTGTCCTGAAGCCGCGCAATCATTGTGTCAAGATTAGCAAGCTCTTGCTTAAACACGAATTCATCCGCAGATGATACAGATATCGTTGTATCATCATCATTGACACTATCAATGGACGTTCTACGACATTCCATACCTTGAACAGATGATCGGACATTATCGTACTCACGATTACCAGTTTCCAAACTCCGGACATCCAGCTCCTCATCTGAATGAATCATGGTTTGTGGTTGGTGTGTATAATATACTCTTGCAGCCGTTGAAACCATACTACAAGAAAAATATGACAAACTTTAAATTAACCCATTGAGTGGCAGCACTCTCCTCCTGACAAGTAAAATCGTCTGGCGTTAGACAGAGTAAAATAATCTGGCGTTAGACAGAGTAAAATAATAAAGTAGGGCGCATTGCCACTTAGCAGGTCAACAGGGTGTATGCACAGATAGTCTAATTAACTCATTGAGTGGCAGCACTCTCCTCCTGACAAGTAAAATCGCCTGGCGTTAGACAGAGTAAAATAATTAATTAGGGTGCATCTGGGTGCATTGCCACTTGACGGGTTGGTACTATACAGACGCGCACTTTTTCACTACCCCTTTTCAGGATTTCTTGTTGAGTCCGTTTTTCCTATATTGTACATCAGAGAGTCTGCAGGAGGGCATCTGTTACACCCCAGATAATCTGTCTATATATAAATGGGTTCAATAAACAGAAAGGCCAGAAACAGATAAAAATTTAAAGCAAAATTATTATATACCGCATAATACTTTACATGCAATATTTCATAAAATAGGCACCCCTACAGGTAGACACACCTTGTCAATACATTCGATGGTTTCATTGACATGGGTTTCCATGAATCTATCCCAGAAAGCACGGATACGTCACTAAGAACATCTTCGGGATGAAGATCTTGTACGTTGGTTAGAACTCTTGTTAATGATTGTTGTAATCCTCTGGAACATAAAATAAGGAATGACTTGTTTGTGATAAAGTCAGGGGTGGGTCAAGTATGGCGTCACCGACGAAGAAGTGTACTTTCATGGTGGAAACTATGGTAATCTTGAGGAACCCC